CTTCAAATGATTCGGTTTGTATAGTGTTGTTGTTCTCCCGCCATTGCTCTCTGGGATTCAAACGCACTTTGTTCGTTGTCCAGTTTCCTTTGTCCTTTTCTCATTCCCGTATACTGTGTCTCCTCGTCTGTACTTCGTGAAGTATAACTGACATTTGGGTGGAGGGGACCTATTGGCATATCACCCGGAGGACGACAGCGCGGGCAACAAATAACCACAGCAAAACCGCACAGTGCAAGCATCTGCAAGCACTGGTAAACGCCATTGAAGAAAGCTTCAAAACAACGTGAACAATCCTCAACCGCCCCACCCCCTCAACCAAACAAAGGGGTCAAAGGGTGTTAACACCCAAAGAGGTGGCAAGAAAACAACAAAACATAACCAGAAAGAATAAAACAATAAAACAAAAAAACACTAACCTTCAGATGGATGTTCGAAACCACAATCAACGATTGCTCTCATGAGCTCCGGCTTGAGAAGGAAATCCTTGAAACCGGTGGAATGGATACCAACATACGACCCCTTCTTATCATCCTCCTTGGCCTCGGTGGTTGGAGCAATGTTATCTTCTGGCTCGGAGTACTCCAATAATTCTTCTTCTCCTTCGTGTGACATCGTTCGTCTCTTTGATTAACGGGGTATGGAACAGCTAAAAGTAGAGATTTCCTTCACAGCGGTTAAGCGCCTCGTTGATGTTGTTGATGTTGTTGTCGTTGTTGTTGTTGATGTTTACGAATTTCTCCTTTTTTTGTGGCTGGCGTTAAAACTTCATTCGTGTCAACAAACTTTTTCCTCACGTTCTTACTTGTGCTAGTTTTTACGCTGCCCGTGCTGTTAATTACGCGGGGCGATATACGCTACAGTGGAGGCATCTATAACATCAGCGGTGATGATGGTGGAGCGTATGAGGAAAGAGGGTTGAAATAGATAGAGACCATGGCTCACGAAGACGTGTGTGTGCCGTGAGTGTATTCTAAGCTGAGTGGCTGTTAAGGTAGGCGACTAGTTAAATATAGGCCGTGGCGCTGTTTTATAAGCACTGTGGAGCGTTCGAAGCCAAACACCTACCCATAACATATGAAGCAGAGCAGAAGTGAAGGCCTTGTCTTTGGAAACAATGCGGGTGTGAGAAGAGAAGGAGAAGGGAAGGAAGAGCATGAGAGTAGAGGAGAAGAGGACCGCCGATCCCGTAGAAATCTCAATATATCAACAGCAATACAATGACTACTGCCCCCAGTATTGAAGTGTGCCGTTTGATAACACCACCTTCATAAACAGAAGCTACTGGGACAGTTGGGTAGGCTATGTGGTTATTGCCCTCTGAGTAATGTCTTGTCCTGCTTGTTCGGTTGTGGTAGAGGTTGTGGAGACCACAACCTCATAGACAGACTACATGGTGGTGTCTCCAACAACAACCTGGATGGTCTCACATCTGGTTGAAGTGGTGGTAAACTCCTCCAAAGTATCAGTGGTAACCATGGTCAGATGTGCCTCTGAGATGGTTGTGAAGATAGTAGCTGTGGTGTTGGTCAAATCGTCCCCAGCTCCCTGAGTCTTTGCAACAGTGATAGTAACGGTGCTCTGGGCTCCACCAACAGTTGTTGTTCTAGTCACTAGACCTTTACCATCCTTACCCTTTCTCCTATGTCGTCGTATGGAGTAGAGGTAGTGTAGGTGGCTGTGTCATCACCTACAGAAGTAAGGACAACAACTTCTTTGCTGGAGATCTTTGTAGCTGTTGAAGTCTCGGGACAAGAAGTGGTGTAAGACATCACAGCACCAGAAATGGTCTCTGTAGGAACAGTACCAGTGGTTTGTTCGAGCTCATGACAGGTGCCTGCTTCACAGCTGGTAACTACGACAAAGGCTGTGCTCTCAACGGTAATTGTCGTTGTCGTTTCACTTGTGATTAGAGTTGTATCCAGTTCTGTTGAAGATTCTGGAACTGTGTACCTCATTGGTAACGGTCAATACAGAGTTCCACTCCAGATCTTCTCTCTTCGCCAACCTCACTTCCGGTGGAATAACAACGATATTCGCCAAAGTTGTCGATTCAAAGCCACCTAATATTTCACTGACAATGTTAATATAGAACAGATCTGTTTCGTCAATTGCCTCTGTAAAATATGCCGTGAGCAACTCGCCGGTTAAAGGTGCATTGGCTCCAGTATACAATTGATTGGTCAGATATATTGACACTGATGAGTTCGTAGTCGTCAGCAATAGCTTCGTGTCTTACGACTGTCACACTTACAGATGTCGACGCCCCAATGTTTCCTGAAATAGCTATGAGATGCTCGGCCGTTTGATCTTCGCTGTTGTGCTCACGTTCAGCTATAGGCACTGTTGGAAGTGCGATTCTCCACCAGAAGACTCACTGGTTGCTTTGACAAGGAGCTCAAACTCAAACACTTCATTGGCGGCACAGGTAGCCAAAGAAGGATCCGAGATCTGTATGGTATGGCATGTCGAATAAACAACCGTTAATGCCTCTGTTGTGGCGACACTCGGGTTGTTATAATCAGCTGAAGGGAAACCAAGCAGTATATATACTCGCTACCTTTTGCATCAACGAAGTTTGGGACAGCTTTCTTGGATATTTTAGGCCATTGCCTGTAGATTTTATTCTGTAGCTCCCATTTTGAACAGCTTATGATTTGAGAGTGGCATACATAGGCTTCTGGTCACAAGCAAGCCCATGTGATTTGTCATTCTCAAGGAATGCTTGGTTTCTTGAATATTTTGAAACCAGCAGGGGATCTCGAGCTACTGGAGGGAAACAGGGAGCTCTATTGGAAGCTATGGTGTATTGTGTGTGTCTGGCACGGTAAAAGTTGCAAGTGGTGTTCGGATCAGGTCTATCCAAACGGCACTTATATCGATCATCTAGACACAATCTTCTCAGAACATTACAAATAATATATATAACTGTACTCTCTTTGGTCTTCATATGGTAAGCATGTCTGCTTTACTGTTGCTGAGATCAGTGGATCGTGTACAGCTTTCCAAACGCAACAAGTGTTCTAAGTATCTGCACATCGTATCCTGAATGTTATCACAGCATAAAGGAGACGATTGGCATTAAGACTCAATTAGTTGATGGCTTTCAATATCCAACTGTGAGTGATGTGTTGAATTTCAAAGTAATTTACTGATATATATACATATAGAAGGCCATTTTTTAATAACTTATTAATTATAGGTCGACGACATTATGATTATTTTACAAATTTAATGTTATTACTTTGCTTGAAAAAAAATAAGCAGGTCCATTTTATATATCAAATTTTAATGTCAGGATATTTAATTTGAATACTACAAAACCTATGCGTTTTTATTCTATTTATATGATAAATGCATTAAAGATACACTTTACTTACCTAGAATACATAGACATTAAAGACGATTTATAATGAGTAAAAGAGATTTTGAGCTACACCGGCGTTACGGAGCAGGAATAATAAAGGTGCTCGAAGTAATTAGCCAGACACTGATCGCTGAGACTCATTGGGAGGCTGGTGCTCAGTAAAAGAATGAGAATTGGTATATTCTTTGAAGTTATTATTCTTAGGAAGGGAGCTTCCGGCTCATTTGTAGCGGTTGAGGAGATTCTTGATATTCTCAACCAATTTTCTAGAGGTTGTACTAAGGTAATCACCTTAAAAACCCCGGTTACATTGTGTAGCTCATATGTGAAATCGAGAAGTGACACCATCCATATGATACCAGGTCAGACTATAATCCTTAAGAATGGATTGTGTAAAATTTCTTCTACTATAGCTGTTCTGTTCAAGGAATTCTGCGATTGTTGTACACTATAGCGAGTGTAGTTCTCAGGATCACCAGGTCCATCTTCTAATTGTATCTGTGCTGTAAATTATAATAGACTGAGTCAGAGTTTTCACTAAATTCATGAGCCTCTAGGAATTCTTTAATGGGGTCAGAAATGTGTAGTGGAATACAAGTGATTACCTCTACTCTGGCATGATGCACTGGTGTCTGTAACGTTTACCAGCCACCGAGTGAACTGTCATCCAATATTTTAGCAATGACTATTCCACTCGTATATAGGTCAACTGGAATAGACAGCGAGAATCTTTATCATCGTCAGTCCTCTTCCTTGAAACCACTCAGGCCATCTTTGGAAGTTCGTCAAATGACTGAAGCATATAGTGTTTGAAAGTTCTGAAAGTAAGATGATTAACCTTTGCCTTAGACCAGTTTTCCCCTCAATGATATCTCAACAGTGAATGAGTCGTGGAATAGAAGAGAAAATCATCGACTCACACTATGAA